TGATGGTTACAGGAAGTGACTGATTTCGCTTATTTTGTCCAGAGAGTGTGCTACCAAATAATAAGTTGAGGGTGTCAATAATCCCTGTCCAGTCCATATTTAGAGTTCTGTGTAGAATGGATCAGATCTGGCTTTTTTAACCTCAGTTTTTTGTGTTGTTCTAATGTGAGCAAAGAAATAGACATGAGAATACCAAAGCATTTGTGATTGCAAAAGTTTTCTGGGAGAAGTGATGAGCTATCTGAGAAAAATGCAGGGGTGCCAGTATTTTTTGGCCATGACTGTATGTATATATTTACTGTTGGTGTTGCTTCATTTGCTACCCCAAAGTGTGCTAGCAGATTAATATTGTTGAGTAAGGCTGTGCTTTTTTACAAAGTTGGCAAACAACCATATTTTGTTTGTAATTTTGCCATCTATAATGAAGAACTCAAAACACTTCCAAATGCAGCTTGTCAGGTCTCATGATAATCCTATCAGCACTGCCCTGTTCCCTGATGTACTCTTCCACTTTTATTTATTAGCCAATTTTTTTTTGTTAGGTCAGTAGGACATGTTATAGGTCAGGCTGAAGCTTCTCTCTTCGGGATCTACACAGGCACATAAGCTATTGTCATTGCAGTTATCGCCATTAATGGCTCTCCAGATACTTGTTAAGGTCAGCGGAGTGGCTGTGAGGCCTGACAACATTACTACGGTCAATACATTAAACCCTAAAACTGTCCCTCACTGACCTCCAGAGTCTGAAACAGAGTGTGACAAGCCTGTCTACGTTGACATGCTCATTAATTAGGACCTTAACACAGGAGCTCAGTAATTAAACAGCTTTATGAAGGGCTTTTGGGGGGGAGAGGGGGGTAGCACACAACCACACACAGACAAACCTGTGGCGCTTGTCCAATCAGGGTGCCTCATATTCCTGCTAACACCAACTGTTCCACTATTAAATATAGACCTTTTGACTTGTAATGCTGTTTAATGGTCATTTTAACGCAGCATGTAATTTTCTTGTGGACAGCTTTTCAAAACAAAAGCACTATAAAACTTCATTAGAGTTATTAATTTTTTTACGCCAAAAAGACCATGCACATGGCATCTCCACCTCCACCAGTGACTCTGTCTGTCCTGCCATTAAAATGACAGTACACATCACTCCTGCTGAGCCATACAAATATATGGGAATTTGGTTTGATAGCACATTCTAGATTAATATTTGTCACCTAACTCTAATTAGCCTAGGTTTCCTTGTATTAACCCATAAAACTATTATGCAGTCAATGTTAATGTCTATACTTGGTCATAGATATTCTGCACTGTCACACTGCTCCATCGTTACTTCAGATGGTAAACCCATTACACTTTATCACTAATAACACATTTCAAACTCACATGGTTGGATGGGACTTCCTTACAGAAGGTCATCTCACATCATTCATGTTTAAAACTCTACTGCTGAAGCTTCCAAACTACCTCCCATCTTTTCTCACATTTAAATCTTGTAACTACTGTATAGTACATGATCCAGTAACTACCTAATCTTAGATATCCTGATATCTTTTATATCCCCTCTAATCTGTGAAGGACCTGCCTGCAGACTAAGATGGTGGATTGCAACCCAAGGGTGTAGACTGTCAACCTCACCTGAAGTTGTCTGTTTTTTCCCGAAGTTGAGTTCAGAATCAGAATCAGAATCAGTTTATTGGCCAGGTGTGGCGGACACATGAGGAATTTGACTCAGGTACATCGGCTCTGATGGGGAAACAGTAAACTTGCATAAGACTGTGTAATATAACAAAATAGCAGTATTAACATCAACAAACAGTGCAAACAATGCAGAAAAAGCAGTATAAACAGACAGTAAACAATGCAGACAACAAAGGAATGTTCATTGAAATGAGATAAATAGGGATAAAAACAGAGTACTTAAGAACTAGAGACCTGTATGAGTCTGTATAATCTGTACAAGGTATATTTACAGGTATTGCACTGAGGGTTATTGACCAGTCATACTGTCGTGGGTTAAGTGTTCATCAGAACGATGGCCTGAGGGAAGAAACTGTCCCTGTGCCTGGTTGTCTTGGTGCACAGTGACCTGTAACGCCGTCCAGAGGGGAGGAGTTCAAACAGGTAGAGAAATTGAGAGTTATGGTTAGGGTAAACTTTAACTCTAACCCCTAAATCTAACCATAAAACTACAGATGTCAACAACTTAATGTCAATAGTCATTACTTCCTGGCGAGGCTGGCAGACTACCATCTCATCTGCAACCAGGTTCTCTTCACTAACCTTGGCAGAGCCGTTTTCACCATACTATGCAGATGACTGCAAACTACCCTTGAGCTAGATGATTACTTATTCCTTGCCAACTTTAATGTCTTATCATCAGAAGTTTTTTTTTAAAACTATTATCAAAGGATAATTATGGGTTATTTCAGCCTAACACATTCCCATACATGTGGCCTTTGTGGTTCTATGGGTCATGATAAATTTGCACTCTCCACCTCACTGTAGAAACTTCTGGAAATAAGGACTCTAAAACAGTGTATACTGGACCGAGCAACACCAGCCTCCCACAGCTTTCCAAATAAACATAATTTTTGCATTTGTATAGGTTTAAATGAGCAGTAATTAGAATTTACTGTTTTGCTGATTGTGGTTACCTGGCTTTATTGTGTTGTTTCTGTACCCTGATTGTGTGCTTGTCTGATTATACATGTTTCTTGTGGTCGCTCTCATAAAAGAGATGTCAGTGTGAATGAGATTCCCTGGTTAAATAAGGTTCATATAATATTTTCCATATCAAGTATATGAAGGAAAACACAGTATAACAATGTTGAGTGTATGGCTGAATGAACAAAATGAATTGGTATATAACGTTTAGTGGGATTTAAATTTTAGTGTTGACTTTTCAGTAGTGATTCAATTGTACAATCAGGTCCTCAGTTGCTAATAAAATTCAAATGGTTGTGGCCTTTCTTTGCTTCTGTAGAAAGAAGCTGAGGAGTGGGAGTGTTGGTGTGAGTGGAAGCAGGGTGGTGGACGTGACAGGTTGTGCAACATTTACAGCACTTGGCCAGGTCTTAATGGTGGGAGGGACCCTCCTCCTCCTCCTGCCACGCCATCTGACCTCGGGCTGTGTTAATGGGGTGTGTGTGTGGGTGTTCAGTATGTGAGCTATCCCTGCCCTCTGGGATAGATTTAGCAATGTGTGTATGCTTTGTCTAGCCTCATTAGGAAGTGCATGTGTGTTGTGGGAATGGGGTGGTGATAGGTGGTTTGTTTGGGTGGCTGAGGGATTTCCAGTCCGTATGGTTTTAAGTGTGACGTCTTCTGATTATATGGGAACAAAAATAGTAACAGGACACACTGGCTGATCAATATTTGAGCAAACAATCAGCTCCTTGTCATCTGAAACAGGTGGGGCCTCCTGAAGGAGCACCTCATTACTGAATATTAACACTGTCAGTGGCTCTCAGTGGCTTTGCGGCAAAATGCGGGATTTAGGATTAAACCATCAGTGTTCCTGAAGGATAGTGCTGAAGAACTCACTGCTGAAGTGGTTTTCTAATGAGATGAGTTTGCCACTGACCAAAGAGATGCTTAATTTGGACAAAACATATATGGATTTTGTTGAAATGCACAAAACTGCACTGCATTTCCTCCAGTACAACAATAATACTGTAATCACTTTTAGAAAGGCACATCAGTACTGGAACACACAGACAGTGACAGTAAATAAAAAAACATGACTGAGTGTAAATAAATGCAGAGATGTCCAGTTCTGTGATTTATATAAATGCTGAAGAGGAGCTGGTGACATTGATGTAGAAAAAGGATGGGAGGGTCCACAGTAGGTTCAAGGGGCACCAACAGGTCACAGGGGCTCACAGTGTGTGTGCGTGTGTGTATTTGCTGTCTGTGTCCATTCTGAAGTATAACAGTGTCTTTATATGCAAGTTTCCAAACTGCTCATATGAAATGACAGAAGCATGAAGCCTGTAAATGAAGGATAACCAACTCATGATTGTGGTCACTTGGTGACACCTGTTTCAAATGGAATCATCATTTCTTTGTTTTACCTCATTACTGGCCCTGAAATGCAGCCGACCTAACTTTTTTGGAATGTGTTGCAGGCATCAGAATTGAATGTTTATTTTGAACAAAAAATAAAGATGATGAGGTGTCAAGTCAAATAATGTGCTGCTGTATTGGTTTCAATATAATACAGGACACTGGTGATTTACACATCACTATTTTCAGTTTTAATTTAGATTTTACATGCCGTCTAACTTTTTCTGATTTGGGGTTGTACTTTATAGAAACTGAAAGGAAATAAGTGCTGTTCAGTCCTTCAGCAGAGTTCGGCACACTTGGAGAATTTATTACAAGGATAAATGCCTTCCAAACACACTTTGGATTTTTATATGCAGAAATACCGGAAAAAGCCTCAACCACATAATAGAAGGCCAGAGTATAATCTTTATTTTTTTAAGCTTCTGTGGAATTTATGCTATAGTATATGCAAAAGAAAAAGGACAAAAACCAAAAATGTGGTAATGAAATGAGGTGTGGAAGGTATAGCATACATCATGGAAGATAAGCACTGTATGTATCTGCTGTCCAGAGAAAACAAAAAAGCATGCATAAACAATACTCATAATAACTGCACATGCACTGTGCACACAAACCATACTTAGATTTATATGTATAAATATTCTGTAATACAGTTCCTTTATTCATATTCACAACCTGTTATTATTAAATTCTCTCCCTTGTTATTTTTAATTTATTTTAGCATGCTACTGTATCTTAAACGCTCTGTGTGTCTGCCTCCATTCCATTACTCCTATTTACTTTAGTACTGTTTATCAATAAAGCTGGATACATTTTGTGGACTTTAACTAATGATTAGTTGATGGAATCTGCAGGACTCACACCAATAACGAACTTTCCCTGCGGCCATTTACTCACACACTCATAACGACGTCTGCCAAAGAGTTATTAGCCCGTCGCCGTCATCTACTGGCAAAAAGCATCGCTTGTCTTCATCCTCCATGCGCGTTTCCGTCCCGTATGAGCGCGACCGCGCGAAGGTCTCATTGTCCGCGCGCCTGGCACGGCGCCGCGCACTCCCGCCCGTGTGTGTGTGTAGTAATCCAAAGCAGTAGAGCTCTCGGATAGACATGGCGGCGGATCTTAAGCCGGAGTGGCTCTCCTGCCTTCCTTCTTCTTGGGGTTATGGGGTGACTCGGGATGGACGCATATTCTTCATCAAGTAAATATAACGCGGATACATGGATTTATGGACACGCACTGTTTGTTTCTCCGACGCATTTTTCCTGTTTGTCTTTTTTCGGGTTCTCTGTTCACCTTTTCCCTCGTTTTCTTCCACTAACAGCGAAGAAGCAAAGAGTACAACCTGGTTGCATCCCGTTACTGGAGACGCTGTAATCACGGGGCACAGAAAAACTCCAGGTAAATTTAGGTTTGGTGTTTTTTTTTCTTCATTCCCTACGAAAACACACTCCATCTCGCACACACACGCACGCATGCAGCGCCTGGGAAAGGTTATCTGCGCGTCACGGTGGAGGAAAAAGGGGGCTATAAGTTGCGGAGAGAGTCTGAGATTTCTTCTCTGTCTCTGCAGCAAAGCAACAGCCTCCCCTGCTCCGCTCCCCTCTTTGCTCTCGTCTGGCGGACCATTACGCACGGTCTCCCACCTCCCCGTGCTCGCTACACCTGGACTCTTTGCGACACACTTTTTTAAAAGTTCCGTCACGTAGGCGTCAGCCGGTTTCAGAGCCCAGTCCCTGCAGTGACATTTGACATATTTCCTACTGAAACCCGTTATTCTGCAGACACAGTATTTCCTTCCAACCACGTAGCCTATAGGCAGAGCCAGTGCTTGGGAAAACGGTGCAGCGCGTCTGGTCCGTCAATGCAAAGCCGATATTCCAAAATAAAAAGAGCATCCGCGACAGCGAGGGGGTGACTGATGGAAAGGCATCGCTGCATGCAGATCAGCAGTGTATTCGGTCAGCTGGAGGCTGAGCAGTGCAGGCACAGTGACAGACTGATTGAGTAATCCTGCAATATCTGCTCTTGAAATTGGGAGTGGGCGCAGAATTGCATAAAAGAGCACAAGCCAAACGAGCTTTTTGTTGTCCAGATGCTGCATTGCTGTGTAGGTGTGTGTGTGTGTGTGTGTGTAAAAAATCAGCTTCATATCTCTGTGTGCAGCTGCTTATGTTCGTGTGTCCCATGTTTTTCTTCCTCTCCCTGTTCTTACAGATTTACCAACAGGATGGGAGGAAGGATACACATTTGAAGGAGCTCGCTGCTTCATCAAGTGAGTTGGAATGTGTGTCCAGAAAGAAAGAGAGAGGGAAAAAGTGATAGAAACAGATTGATGCAGCCAGGGAGAGGGGCAGCTTGGTCTCATATGCTGAGGGCCTGCTTTGTTTAGTTGGAGGCACATTCGCCCACCTCTCTGCCCTGCTGGAGGAACTGACTGTTTGCCTCTCCTGTAACACACACACTGACACATCCTTACACCCTGGCAATCAGTGACGATGAATAACTCTATGGTATTGTCTTTCTTTGCCTGCTTTTGACGCTATCTCCTTCAGTCCGTCATGCTCCTGCCCTTCAGCTGCAGCTCCACAACTCTTTTCATATGCACACAAACTCACTTTGCTGTCAGTGGGACACAAGTTTGACAAGCAAGTGTGACTCAGAGGTTGCTCTGCAGCGCTAAACAGGCTCTACTTGTTGGTGTGCTGCATGTGTGCACATGCAATTGTTTCCGTGTGTGACCTCTCCAGGGTTGTTAGTGGCTCCAGCTCCTTGTGCACATTTTCATACATGTATGTTTTGTAGACCTGTCTGACAACAAAAGTCCCCGGTAGCTCCCAGCTTCTCACACACCCATAGCAACACAAAGACACACTCTCTGAGGTCATGGGTAGGCACTGTCATTTGTTCTAACTACTTTTTCGCCTGGTGTTCCTGCTGTTTGCTCATGTTATCTGTGGCCATTTTGAGAGCAGCAGCTGACACATACAGTGAGCTAATATAGCTGTTCTATAAATAACCCAGAGCGGCCACTTTTTTTGTATGGTCAAAAGCATGCAGAATGTGCACATGTACAGTTTGTGTGTGTGTGTGTATATATATGGCGTGGACACATTAACAGTACACAAGCACAATTGCATTGAGTTCTTGCATGCAAACACAGTTAGTTCCTGACAGTCAGATGTGACATGTGGACAGCTGTGAATGCAGGTGTGAATGCAGCCAGAACACATTAAGGACAAGTTGGGATCAAAACAGGTCACGGTCAGAGGTGGTGCACAGAGGCATGAGATTGTGTTGAGCTGTGGGGATCAGCATTCGCTAATTAAAAGTGCCACGGCCAAAAAAAATTGTCCTTGGACCAGGATTTGACCCCCACAAGTTACGGCCCCCTGTGGGTGTATACACCTTTGCCCTCAGGTTTCCTTTTGCACCCTGCAAAAACCAGATCATGGGAACTTCACGACAATCCAAAATCTGTTACTCCTGTGGTCAACTGATAGTTTTTTTTTTTGCCCATCTTGAGAGCGCAGGGAGGCTGGTGGCCTATATATAAAACTGATATCATGTTATTTTTCTTTTGCGTTGGATAAAATACAATAGTAACAAATTAGACAGATATGTCGAACTTAAATGACCATTTACTTAGCATGAATAAATCATTAAAATATTTGAAATATTTAAGTGTTTGAAATTTTTAAGTGTTTTTTTTGCACTCTGATTCCCTTATTATTTAAATTTGAAAAAAAAAAGTTCACAAGTACTCAAAAAACTAAAATCTGTAAGATAAAAAGGACACTGACAAAGCTGCCTGCAGATGTGTCTGCAGATGTTATTTGTTACCCGGCACTGTGAGCGATTACCTAAAAATGTCAAATATTGGTTTCCTGATGAATTAGTCTATCACTAGAGGAATATATACCACATGGGCATAAAGTAACAACATAGGATCAAGAATAGGTTTGAGACAGGGCCCCTCTAGAAAACTGGGCAACATGATTACACAAGAATGCAGGATTCATCTTAGTTGGTATTTTACTTTATTGGTTGAAATTCCTTTAAAAATGAAGCATTCAGTGAAATGGCCAAGAATAAGCTGACATTGAAGTTGGGGCTTTTGGGCCTCCTCTCTAGGGCCTTGGGGCAGTTGCTCTGTTTGTCTAGTAGGTAATCTATCTTTGCAGACTCAAGGAGCTGCAAGATGTATCACAGTAAACCACAAGCCTCCTCTCTAGTTGTTTAGTGGAACAAAAATGTGTTTGGATTCTCTGTAAATTAATGGACAACACATGCTATGACTGGGGAATGAAACTGGTCATTTATGACTTTTTATGAAGTGTACAAGTCCATAAATTCACAGTGAGAGTGGGCGCTGATAAAGAATCTCAGGCCTTACCAGACGGCCGCTGCTGGTATTCACTGACTCAGACCAGACTTCTGCTGATGCATTCATGCTACCATGTCCACAGTCTTGAATACAATGAGTAGCATTTGATTCTGAACAATCAGGTCTAGTTTCATATTCACTGAGCAACATGGCATCATCAGCACTTCTTCAAATCTTTCGAATTCCTGCTCGGTCACTTCTCTATCAGCCCATTATTGGAATCTTGACCCTCCTGCTCTATCTGCATCCATGGGGTCTAAGGATACTGCAGGTTTTTGCTTTGAATCTGTTTATGTTTTCAGAAATGTTGTAAAGCTTGTTAGGTTTCCTCCAAACAGGAGTTGCTGACATGTGGGTTTGCTGTAATGAGGCTGATGCAAGGGTAAACTGACTCCTCAGCTGAAATGCCATCACTTGGCAATGCTTTAGACCAGACACATACTGAAACCGCACTGATTCAACAGCAAATATTGAGGAAACCTTATTCCAGGGCATGCAAAATTCCACTGTAATATGAGGCAGAGACATTACTGGCCTTTTGTTTTGCTTTGTGATTGCTTCAGCTTCAGTCCTAACCACTGCTACTTGAGAAGACATTGAAACACGGAGGACTGGCTGCATTTGCAGTTGATTTATTGCATGTCTCCATGTAGATTCAGATCATAGTACTGTACAGAGCAGCTGCAGTGTCTTCCAAGTAACTTTCAAAATACTTTTTCTTTGATTGCCGTGATTTTGAAGCTCTATGTTCACTTAACTACTTTCTCCTGCACTTGCCCATGACACCTCAATGGAGTTTTGACTTTTCATGTGTGATAGCAGAATGTATGGTTACTTTCACTCAAGTAAAGTAGGATCATAGTCCTGCTGGAGCACACTGGAACAACGTTTTGCTACTTTTTCTCTCCAAGAGAGGAGAAAGAATATTTGCATAGTCCAGTCGAATATCACTGAACATGGCATTTTTGCAATCATTTGAAAATCCAGTCATCAGTAAAGCGTGTATATGTCCTGCAAGAAAATCAGTAAAATCTAACTAAATGGTCTAAGGTGGGATATTAAAATTTAAGGTGGGGTGACTGATTCACAATGTCAACTCATGCATTGGGAAACATGCAAGAAAACATTCCACCTTAAAAGTGGCTGGTAGCTGCCTTGCAGCTGCGCAATGAATATGGCTGGTACTAGCTAACGTTAATTAATAGAAATAAAAAGGCAGCAAAACATGTTTCAGAACAGCTAAAATGTTCTGATTATGTAACATTAACTAAACAACAATAATAAAACCAGGCCCACAATGTCCATCAAAAGCATAAAGTACTGAAGTACTCATTTGAGGAAGGAATCATTTGAGGTTTCACTACTAGGCTGGTTAAAAGAGTGGCAGGTATGACTTGGCATGATAAACTGGGATAGCTGTCAGTCATGAATCAACCACTTTAAAGCCACAATATCTCTTTAATGGTGAAAGTGAGGTGGTGCAGTGGTTAGCCCTGTCACCTTGCAGCAGCAAGGTTCTGAGTTTGTAACTTCCT